GCACTCAGTTCTTTTCAGGCTGATTATGAGTTGGTATAAATTCTTCCTGCATTAAGAATATGTCCTAGATGTTTATTGAGAACATTTGTGTCACCCATGGGGTCAGGCACTGTTAAAGTGGTTTGAGTTGTCCAGTCTTTGTGCTTTTTTTTCTTTCTTTTTCCTTCAAGGAGGGCAGAAATTGCTCATTTTGACTGAATTTTTAGAAATAATGAGCGTGAGAAAATAGCTTCAGTGCGAAGGCCCTACAGATGTGTGGCACATCTGTTTCAGAGCACCAAACTGCCAACTGAGTCCCGCAACAATTGTGGCATTTGTAACTCTTTCCATTCTGACTGCGCAAAAGAAAAATTTGCCAAAATAGCCATTGAGGGGAAAACCCTCAGGAATTTTGATTTCCAGATGTGAAGCTGCTTGGGCTTTGCACAGCCAGGGCGGCAGAGCCACTGGTGAGAGGGTGGAGCACACTGGGACAGCAGCATTTCTGAGAGCCACTGGAGGAGACAAATCCACAGGGAGCACAGACTGAGCAGCTTAACGGGCAGGGAAGCCACTGAGTGTGAGGAAATGAGAGAAACTGGTTCTTGTCCTCATTCTCCAGGCCAGAGCTGGAGAGAAGATACCAGTGCTGCTGCATGTTCTGCCTGGCAGACACAGCTGCTCCTGCAGCGCCACTGGGTGAGGAAGGTAAACACAGCCAAGCTCCCATCTGTGCCATGAAGCTGCAAACAGTGGCAAAAAGCCTCAGAAAGGTAAAATAGATAAAAATGCATCTCTTTGGTCTTATCAGAGCTCTGGTCATGGTTTCTGAATGACTCTGACTTAGCAAGAACAGTGAGAAAATTCCCCAACTCAAGGTCCAGGTGCTTAAGCTATGGAAGTTCATAGCCCAGGCAAGGACTTCTCTTCTGTAACATGCCAAAAAATAATGGGAGTTTTGGAAAGTGAGTGTTGTGAATGCTGACTGTCCTCTATGTGAACTAGCTAGGCTGGTTAAAGCTTAATTAAATATTGCCAGAGTGGCTAAATTGTTTTCTAAGTGCAGCTGCAGAATGTTAGCTCTGGACACATTTTAGACCATAATTAGTAACACTTGCACTGGAGCACCAAAATCTTTCACCAATGCAGCTGCAATCAATTCAAATCAGTTAGGCATTTTGTAGGCAATATAAGGGGTCCTGAAAATTGTTTTAGTGCCCACCTAGACATAAAACCCCCCCAAACCTCTATGCAACAAACTACAAACCCAAAGATAACTACAAAACGTCTTTATTGAAAAAAGCAGATTATAGCATCTAAGGTTAAATGAAACTTCTGACTTTAATATTAAATAACTTAAGGTGATAGGAAGTAGCTTCTTCTTTAGATAAATAAATCTACATTTCCCAATTTTTTTATTCAACAATCAAGGGAATCAAACACTGAAACACAAAACCACAAGTAATTCTAACGACTAAAAGACAGAAGCACATTGAAAGGTTTTACAAGGATATATATATATATATACAAAAATAGTTAAACTAAGGTATATTTTCAGCATGTAAACTAGTTACATGATATACAAACTGGGAATTCATATATTTCCTACAAAATAAAAATCAACGTTGGTCCAAGTTCTTGGAAGAAAACTATATTCTTTTAAAGAAAATGAAAATATTTCTCAAATGAAAACTTAATTTAAGTCAAATTATATACTCTAGTTACGGCATTAGTTACAGGATGAATCACAAACTTTTAAACTTTTCTTGAAACACAAGAAAGCAGCTTTTGTCTCCTTTAGAGCTTTGGTTTACTTTACTACTCTGGAATTTCTGGTCTTAAAGAGCTCCTCTAACCATGTTTTCCTTTGGAAGCTCCACCTTACAAAATATATACACACACGTGCACGAGTGAGCAGAAAAGGAAAGAAACCCCAACAAGCCCTTGGTGCAAGCTCAGCTAGCTGAGTGCATTCTTTCATTTTGTTCACAAATGATTCTTTTGGTCCTTTCTTTGGAACTGTCCTCCCCTGGCCCAGGGACTCTGCGTTGCCCACAGCAGCTTTGTGCTGCAGGCACTCGCTCAGATTCCCTACCAGAATGGAATGGTGAAGTCCTGATGCAAATGAGAACAGGTTGTTATTGGTTTAACCTCATGGAAACGTTCTGAAAGTACAGCAAAGGCTTCTGAAGAACAATCACATAATCACGAAATGAACTTACAAGTTTACCTCTGTGTTGAGCTGATTTAACAGAAGGATACTCTGTAAGAAAAGCACTAAAAGAAGCTTTTTCATTTCCATAATTCCCCAGACAGGAGGGAAAATGTGCAGGAATTGCCACTAAAGAGTACAGCACATCATTATTTTAGGTTTGATTTTATTTTTCTCTTTGATTGAAAAAAAGAAATCCCCCAAACTGGCAAATTTCAGTCAGGCTCCAGTTTTCATAGTAAATGCTGGAAAAGCAAAGCTGCACTGCACCATACAGAAATGGAAAGCATCTGTCTAGAGCAAATACTGGAGCAACAACTGCTGCTTTCTGGTTTTAAACAAATTCCTTACTCTATATTGAAAATGCCTTTTGGTGTTTTTACCATGATGATACTTAACAGATCAGAACTGCACAGAACTACAAGAGACTGACAAATTAACATGTGAAATGAAATCTTACCCTGTTCTACAGGATGATTGTTTGCATAAAAAAAGAAGCAAAGCCTTGGTATGTACATGGTCAATAATGTGCTGTCCCTTGGAAAAAATGCTGGAAATTTAACTTGCCCCTGAAGGAGGCAAAGTGCCCAGGAAGGTACTGGCATAAGGACTGGGCTGAATGCCAAGAGTAAGTCACCTCCAGCTCTGGCCAGTGTAATTTTGAAGGTTTTGCTTCTCTACTGGTGGAGCAAAGCATTTCCCCAGTACAGTGAGTACTGTTACGGGATGATTTGCTCCAAGGAACAGACCCAAACCTTCTCTGTGTACTTTAAAGATTGTTTTCTTAGTTTGGGTTCTTTAATATATATTGTAAAGAGAAGAAAGTGAAAATGCCTCAAAGCTAAATGTGGGCCAAAGCAGCCTCCTTCAAAGCACAAAGTATTACACTGCAGCTGATGCCAAAAGTTTATCCTGCACCTCTGTTTCTTCCATATTTGTAAGAATCATAAGGAATTGCCCTAGTCCTACAATCCAATTTAAGGCAATTTTTCCCCTTTTCCAGCATTTCCTAGCAAATGTCCTTCCACTTGGCCCTGAGGCTGAGCTGTTGACTGTGGACACAGAGGTAGTGTTTGCCAGTGCAGAAATGTGTGTGCACTCACTGCCCTCTTTGCAGGCCAGGCCTCTTGGGCCACTGTGTGGAAACAGGACTGTAATGCCTTCAAACCACGGCTCTCCCATTAGATATGTCAATTAGAAACTGATATGTTAACTGAGAAATGACTTTTTAAAGGAGCATCTGCCTTGCCCAGGAGCATTCTGCAGGACAGGTTAATCTAGGGCAATGAAAGTCTGGCAAAAGTACCTTTTGTTCCTTACGAACAGAAAAAAGCAGTTCTCAGGAATTTTTCCTGCCCTCCCCCTTCCCTCATAAGGAAATTCCAGACTATCAAAAAGTTCTGTTAAGAGAGTTAATTCTTCCACTTAGGAATTAGTGTCCATTGGATGCTCTTTGTGCTTTTCACGAGCACCACAAATGGCTTTCAAAAAGTCAATGGAGCATAAGAAACTAGACTGCACTGGCATTGCCAAATAAGTCATTTCAGCACTTTGCAGGCTGAATTTAACACGGGATCGTTTCCGAACGCTCCCGTCAGGCTCAGCCTGTGGAGCACTGGCATGGCAATGTCCCAAATTATACATGTGGAGAATCTGCTCTGGTATTTCCACTTTCTCTGGAGCAGAAGAATTTTATTTTATTGTGATTTTGAATAGCTAAAGACAGCAATGATAAATTGCAACTTCAGGAAGGCTGGATCAATTCTTCTGAGAATGCAAGGAATTTTTTAGCCATACAGATGTGTGATTTGCATGTAAATCACCAGCACATGGTAGAAAACAAACCATAAAAAAGATTCATCTAACTTCCTATATGGAAGACATATATTTTTCCCCAGAGCTCTGAGGGTACTGTAAAAGCTTATGCAAACATGGAATTGTGTACACTCTATGTACAGCTAATACTTGTTGCAAATACCAATGTTTCGATGGTCTGACTCTCTGTCTGACTGTTTCTGCTAAACTGTACTTCATTTTCCAATGAAGACAATTACCATAATCAGTTCAAAAGTAATCTGGAAAAGAACACAAAGCTGAAAAGGTAATACAAAACCACTGTCCCTCTCTTTGTTTAATAATGTCCAATATACAATCACAAAGCGGTTGGTGACAAATGAAGTCTTGTAGAAAACAAGCAGCATAAAGACAAGTGTACCTTTGCATAGACAGGGGCTGCTAACCCTATTAACCCAAAACACAGGTTTGGAGTTGAATTCTTTAGTAAGTGCCAAATGGTCCAGTTGATATGAAGGAGTTTTGAACCCCTGGCTATGTGGGCCCCAGCCAGCAGTGGCAGAAGCACTGATGTGAGGCACGTGCCAACCTGTTGGACCTAATCCTCTGTACCATGGGGTTTATATGAAATACTTGCCATATTTCTGGAACAAGCTAAATATTCTTTGGAGGACTGTGGAACACTGCAGGATGGAGAGCTGGTCTGATGCTTCACAGAATGATGTTCCTTACCCATGCTGAAACCTGCCCTGGCTAAAACACCCGCTTGCTTCCTACTCTCTACTGGGAATCTAATATTCTCTAAGACCAGAATTCAACAAAACTAGCTAAAATGCTAGAATTTGTCTTATCATGCCTGCTTCAATATGATAAGGTGCTAACTTTTGGAAAGTAATTCTACACTCCTTACTTGGGTGAACTCTCCACTCAGGAAGGTGAGTAGGGAGTGCAAAACAGCCCTTTGTACCATTGACTTAGAACTGCTGCCACTTACAGTTACAGTTTAGTGGTGAATTGTTTTTTCAAGTAGACAGTGTCTCAGTGAAAATGCCTAGATAAAAGAATGCATATGTACAAGATCAGAAAAGGACCCCTCACCTCTGATTCACGAAATAAATAGCTGGTTTAGATGGTTATTACTGGAATCTCATCTTTAAAGGAACAGGAAAGTCAGTTTTAGATTTTCGTCTTCTCTTTCCAACGGCTTATTGGTAACGGAAATGTCTTTCAGAGTTCTGTGACATGCATGGGATAGCTGGGAGGAGGATGTGATGGCAGTTTGATATTAAGGCGCCTGATGTGACAGCTGTGGCAGAGCAGGTGGCCCTCTAACGGGTAGCAGCGATGGCCTTCCTCGTCATTGAGCTGCAAGCCACAGTCCTGGAGGAAACAGGCATCCCAGGTTAGTGAGTCAGGCAAGGCACCTCACACCAATGTTACTCTATCCTGCACAGCCCCAGAGCTCCCTCCAATGCCTCCAAACCCAGTGACATCCGCACGCTTTGGTAGGTGGACCCTGACTATCTCAGATCCAGCAAAATGGCATCACTGAAATCAAACAGGACTCCTATAGAGGAGTACCCAGACTTTATCCCCAGTGTTTCCCATTCTGGTTCTTTCTTCATCTAATAAATGCTGCTGCAAATCAGATAAAAAACAGGCCAAGGACTGACCCTGACACATACAACCTGGAAGAGGCTAGAACAGAGAAGGAGCTAATTCTGCAGCAAGCCTGACATGAGGAAGCATAAGCCAAGAATGAGAGGAGTGGGGAAAAGAGAGAGAGGAGATGTTTTATTTCTGAAGCAGGGCTACACTTCCTCTAGTTTGGAATAAAGAAAAATTAGAGACCTCAAGGCCAATGGTCCATCTTTAGTGGGAATGCTAGTGCCTCTGGGACTGGCACGTAACTCCAGGGACAATGGGGGTGAACAAGAGTGCAGGAACAGAGATAAGCAGAAAAGCAACTAACAATGACCCTGCCTGCTGACTATTCTGTACCCTGCAAGAGACAACCCTGACTGTCAGCCAGCATCGTTACAGCTCTGAGGTAATTTGAAAATCATGGCAGTTTGGTGCTCAGATTTGATGTTTCAACTATGTTAAATTCTTAAAATATTGTTACTGTGACCAGTCATGTGAAACCAGAGATTCTGAGTATGTATCTGTGCATGTAATAGAATGGAAAAAAACTGCATAAATTGTGCATATAGGTCATTTTAGTCTTGGAAACAAAAGCAAAGGTATTAATTGGACACAGAGTATGATTTTTCAGCTTCCACAGCTCAAGTTTAAATCCTCAAAATTCGCAATGCTGAAATAAGACTGAAAATGGGTTTTAAAGTGAGCTTTAAACCTGGAATGTTAGTTTAGTGAGGCTTTCATCAAAGTTCCCGCCAACGTAGTTTTCTGTGTGTTGTTATATGTTATTGCAATTTATATAAGATTTTAAATTAAATTCCTCATTAGATTTTACCAATTTCAGATACTCTACAGATGTGCCAAGTGTTCGTGCTTTTCCCCTCTCCAAAACTGAATTCCCTCCCTGCAAGGAGCAAGCCTGCCTTGCCAGTGGATTCCAGGCTCAGAATGGGGATCCAGTGATCTGTTACCACTTGAACTCCTCTGCAGAAGTTAAGTGGTTGCACACAAAAGACATGATACAGCGAAGCAGCAAAGTTTCCAACTTGACTACTGACTGTGCATGGCCACCAGGTGAGGATGACATTCACAGCACGTCATTAGTAGCTGCACATGTCATTGTAGCCTCTGCAAAAGTCTTGACATGTACACCTCAAAATACTGGCACTAACGTTTCTAGCAGCATTCAGGGACAGCAGTGACCCAGTGTGTACAGTCTGAGAGCCTGATGTGAGACCATTAGGCAGTAACCTATCCCTGCTGACACACAGCTGACTCCTGATTTCTGTACATAAATGCACTTTGCCTTTCTGGGCAGATGTGGAGGCAGCTTGATTTGCCTCAAACGGGAAGGAGAATGAGGAAATGAATAATGAAACAGATCTGAAAACAAACCCCCAGTGGGACATTCTAGCATAATGTCAATAGCCTGAGAGAGAAAGGGAGGGAGTTGTCATCTTAGGTGAAGGCTGCACAAAGCAATAGGTGGGGGAAGAAGGAGGAGGGCAGTGTGGCTCTCCAAAATACTGTGATTTCCTGTGCCAATTTCTCTTGAAAAATTAGTAGAAAAGGATAAGAGTGTCAGCATCTCTGTTGGAAGAAGATAGCAGAGTCGACGAGGGCTTTCTTACATTTAGGTATGTAACACTTCAGATGCCTGAATTTTGTTATCAGAAGACTCTTTAAAACCTTTTTGCCCCACAGTGCATGGAAGATGGCATTGCTGCATTGCTGCCTTTGGTGCTAAGAGCACAGTTTGGATATGTGTGGATATTCATATGTTGTATCAGAGCACCAAACCTACAGCAAAAGGGAAGTTTTTGGCTGATCCCAACTTAGAGAGTTTGTTTCCCTCCTCATGCTCCTGGATACAGAACTAAAGAGGAGCTTGGCTCTCCTCTCTGAAGCAAGAGCACCAATTCCACAACTTGATCTGCTGCAATAAACGTTTAAATGATCAGCACAATAAGAAACTACTCCCTAAGAAGTGACAGAAAGCCAGTGGTATCCTTGACTTTTTTTCTCATAAAGAATCAATATTCACTCAGCATGGAAAAAACAGATTCCTCAGAAAAGCCTTCCAGTGCGAGTCCTTCCCTGCACAGACAGTGTGAATCCAAGTCTCCTCAGATCAGAGACATACAGACTGTATCCAGAGATGAGAAAAGAGACAGCTGGCACCTTCTCTTTGTTCTCTCCCCATCTGGAAGTATTGAGAAAATTCAACCCAACCAACTAAACCCAGCCTTGAAGTTAACACATTGGGATAAAAACACCTCAAAACTAATTTGGTACTTGCGATAGCAGCACCACTTCCAGCCCAGCCACCACTCACCCCTTTACCTCCGTCCAGGAGCTGTGAGGTCTGCAAGAGCCAGCAAGTGCACTCACCGTGCAGGTCAGGCACCCACCAAGAGGCTGCTGAGTTACCAGCAGAGCCCTGCCCTGAGCAGGCAGACACTCACCTCGCAGTGATAGCACTCCACGTGGTAGTCTTTGTCCATCGACACCACCCGAATGGTCTCCTCGGAGCCCTGTTGGGAAGAGAGAGAAATAAGAGTGGTCTCTAGGAAGCGTTTTCTCAGCCTTTGCTCAGTACCCAACCAGTTGCTTTGGAGAGCTGCTTCCCTGGGGGATCCTCTCTTCCTCCAAAGAACAGAGCTCTGTGACCACCGAGGGTCTCGTCGGCCCCTGCCACATGGTGCTGCACCACTGGTTTGGCTGGGTAGCAGCAGTGTGGGGCTCTGACACATCTAAGTTCTAGAAGTCATTTGGGAAGTGTAACCAAAACTTCATCTTCAAGGGACAAATCAGGCTTCAAATGATTTTCCAAGGGCACGCAGAAGCTGAACAAATTACCATTCAAAAACCTGCTGATGGGGTAACTTTTCCTTGTAGACATCCTGGTCTGTTTTCCAGGACTTGTATTCCCCTCAAACTGTCTCCTGCACAGCTATTTTGCACATGCACATGGCACTGTGTGTACCCCATTGGGACTGACATACCAGTCCGGCAGGTAATTACGTGCACAGGCCAAAACCTCAGCATGAGGGTGGGTGCAGTGGAGTTGTGTAATTCCTGGCTGAGCCCCAGGCCCTGCAGAGCAGCCCATACCCTTCTAGTAACCTCACAGGCTCTTTTCCTGATCCACTCTGCAGACAAAGCTCATCAAACTTGTTGCCTTGCATTGTTTCCAGTTCCAGGTGCGGTTAGAGCATCAGATATGACGTGGACTGTGTCTGAGAGAAGCTACGTGCAAGTTAGTACCTGCATTGCTAGGCTTGAGCTAACCTAAGAAACCTCCATGGGAAAGAACATGGAGTATATCCTGCCAGTCATCAGGTGAGTCAGCACTAGAACTGACTTTTTTTTTCCTTTCTTTCTTTAAAAGAAAAAGTCGTCATTTTGTAGGACCAAAATTAAGTGAAATTTACATAGGGGTTTTCTCCTCAACCCATCACCAGGGCAAGCAGTTCTGGCTCAGCCTTTGTAAGGTTTTCAGTTATGTGAGACCTGGCCAAAATAACAGAAACATTAATGACAAATGAGAGCAACATGCAGAGTGATGGAGCTTGGGCATGTGAGACGCTCTAGCCACAGGCTTTACTGGGGCACAGCAGCTTACAGGAGGCAAGCTCTGGTTCTATAAGCATGGCAAGAGGAAAAGCAGGGTGGTGCTGAGACCCTTGTTTCCAAATGAGCTGTTCGGTGACCTCAGCAATGGGAATATGGAGTGTCCTGCACCCACCAGAGCATGAGGGAGCACCACTACAGGCTTAATGCTGAAGTCTTACTGTGCTGACTACACTGGCAGCACAGGCTGAGGCTGCAAGCAAGTTTCACCTGGCTTCCATTTCAGCCAACTTAGTTGATGCCTTTTCCACCCCTTTAAGGGCTTACATTACATTGCCACCCCAGGACCACAGACTCACAGGGTTAGGGTAACCATCAGGTGTCTTTGCAAGGGCTTTACTTTCTGGGTTGCTCTTGGAGCCCCAGTCAGGGTTTTCAATTAAAGGAGATTTCTAACAGCATAATTAAGCCCTGGAAAGCACCCTAAAGATACAAAGTAGTGTGCTGCATAAGTAGTGTGACTAGCACAACCTCTGGGAATGTTTGCTGAACTGTTTTCAATTTAGTATATAACATAGTATAGATTCTGGAACAGGGAGGAAAAGCATCTAGTGTGTTTTTAGAAAGTGTTCATGTGCCAACAGCTGTTCTCTCTAGAGAGTCAGAGCATGTTCACACATACCTGTGCTGGTAGGATCGGCTGGTTACAGGAAGCGCATTTTGGTGCAAAAACCCTAGAGGGAAAAGAAGAAAATGTTCAGATCACATTTAAAGCTTCTTCAAAAAGTAGAACCAAGGGAGCTATTCTAATCATGCCTCATTTTAAGTAAAATGGAGATCCACAGGATTTGAAACACCTCGAATTATTTGATGATATTCAGCAAAAAGGAGATTTGGGAGAGGCTGATCTACCCCAGCTCTATTGCTTAGGTCTTCCTGACCTGGAGGCATAGTGAATCCAGCCCTCTTCCTGCATATGCCCTTTTTCTTTGCTTCCTTTATGCATAAACCTGTTCAAATTCTTCCAGAGACTTGATGCATTAACTACAAAGCAGCTCCTGACTTGGGGCCTGTCACTATCCAACGTCATGAAGACATAACAATGCTAAATGGGAGAGGGGCTGATCGTGGCCAGGATCTAAATACATCAACTGGGCTTACTGTCCACAGCTGCATTTTATGACCATCGCTGGGCCAACACTCACTGTGTCCATGTAATACTATTGGCTTGGTACCAACAGAGTTGAATTCAGAGTGATTTACACCTGCTGAATAAGCTGAGTTGTTGCTTGACTGGAGCTAAGAGAATTCATGTTGCCTTTGAACAGGACTGAAAAGGAGTCCAAAAGCAATCCCTTAAAGCTCAATACCTCTTGTCAGGCAAGGCTAAAATCATCCTAACACTGACTGCTAATCACATGTCTACTATCCTGTCTTGGTTAACATAACTTGTACTACCAGAACCTCCACTCCTAGAAACAGCCAGCAGAACCTACCATCACTTCCAGAATTGGTCTGATATAATTGGCCTGAAAGAAGTAGAGGAACAGCCACCAAGAAATACATCCTCTGACACGACTTTCAGCCTCACTTGGCCATTGTATGCCACACTGGGCCTACAAGTGACTCTTTATAAACTTTAAAATACTTTTCAAATGCAACACGTGACAGCAGCAGTTGAGGGACATCTGAGCAAATAGGAGTGACCCTTTTTATCCACTTATAACTATATCAATAATGTAACTACTGTCATTTTCCTGAGCACGCAATGGCTTTGTGTACTTACGTATGGTAGTCTTTGACACAGTAAATATTGTTCTCCACATCTACAGTGAAGGGGACTCCATCCAAACACTCATTACACACCACACAGCGGAAGCAGCCAGGATGGTAGGACTTTCCAAGGGCCTGTAAGATCTTAACAAGGCAAACAACAAAATAAGTGGATGCATGGTTACATGAGATTTCCATCCCCCATATACTGCTGTGTCTCACTCATTCTTAATAATGACAGTGAGAAAAGCACTTCAGGATGAAATTACCACTCTGCAGCTCTATCAGCAAGGGGCCTCTTAAAACAATCAAGTTGCTTATTTCAGTGGGTTTCAGTATGCTCCCAATGAAGAGAGAGAACTGAAAATCAGGATGATGCCCATCAGTTTTAGCTCGGCAGGACCAGAACTGCCAATGGAAATTAAAAACAGCTTCACAGACCACTTCTTGCAAAATCCCAAATACAAGTTATTTGGATGCAGATTTAATTCACAAAACTTGACAGGCTGTGACAGACAGAATCCAAACTGGTCATTTCTCAATCTTAAAAAGTAAATTAACAAAACAAACAAATAAAACCATGTCCCTTCATTAATTAAGGATCCATCAGTTTCTGACTGGTTTTCACTTAGTCATACAGGTCCATCAGTTTCTGACAAAATTCTGTCTGTATCTATGTGTTTGGATACTGATCCATCCACCTGCCCAGGCTTTCCCATGCTGACCTTCCCTATTGCATTTTAAAGGTTTCAAGGAAAGGCCTGATGCAGCTTCTGCTGCACTACTACAGAACAGATCCCCTCCCTCCTGGAACCTGTATGTGTAACACTCAGTGTGGTGCTGGGACATCACGGAGGACGTCCCAAGCCCCTGGGAAGAGTGAGACACCGTATCCTTCTCAGGCTGCTCTCAACAGGTTGTAGAATCAACTGCATACATTTCAGGTGTAAGAAATACCTTTGGAAGGTAATTTCAAAAAGCACCTGCTAGCAGCAGTGCTCATCTTGGAACTGCTAGTAAGCTTGAGATGTAAAATCTCCACAGACCAAGCTCTCTTGGCCCTGTAGATGATTATATGAATAAAAATGAAATCAATAGGAAATAAGTAGTGGCACATAGAATAAAAAAGCCAATTTGATTTAATCTTTTCTTCCTTTCTAATGAACTTTCTGTTCAGTGAGTGGCATCAGACTGTTTTAATTTGCAAGCCTGTTCCAAGCCAGAAACCACTCGTGCCTGTTGCTGATGTTGCCATCGAGGCAGTGCCGTGCCCAGTGCCAGCCTGGCGTGGCTGTGCAGCCCCCAGCAACTGCCTTGGCTGCCCCTGAGCCCTGCACAGCTCCAGCTGAGCCCTGCACAGCCCCAGCTGTGCCCACACTCTGCTCCGTGCCTGCCTACCGCTGGTGTGCTTTCCCAGCGAGGAACCCGCAGGAATTAGCCAAATAAGACTGCTTAATTCCTGGAGCTCCCAGAGCTGTTTCCTTTTGTCAGAGCACACTAGCTGATGGGAGAAAGGCAGACAAACACCTGCCAAGCTTCCAGCTACTGAGCTCCACCAACAAGATACTATGGACTCTTGCCTGGGATTCTGCAATTAAGGGCCAGCTCAAAGCATGCAAGTGAGGCTCCCCCTCCCCCTCCCAGCATGACACAACTCCAGAAATTTGCTCTTGGGCTAAACTGAACAATATCCTTGTCCAACCAGTGGTGCCAGGATATGAGCCAGAATCCTCATTAGCGAAGTCTCCGTTCCAGCTCCTCTGTGTGCACAGTGCAATAGCTACTTCTCTTAGGCACACTGAGGTTCAGACACACTTTAAAGCAAGTTAAAAAACAGATATGCTACAGGCTGTGCACTTCTTCGTTGTGCAAGACACTTCATTTTGTTTGGGAATTTCTGCTTAGGAAGAGCAGACTAAGCTCTTCCTATTTTCACCCATGGAAACGATGCCAGCAGCACCTGGCCCAAGTCACAGCCCTTTGATTTTTTTATTACCAAAGTAACTCTGGTTAGTGGTGCCCTACAAATCCTGGCAGCAATGATGCATTTTAAACTGCATGGAGCAAGCAACAGAGGGTAAGTAAAGCAAGTCTCAGAGTGAGTGACAGAATTCAGGACTATTGATAATGTCCTCTGCTCTACTCCAGATTCCACTCATTTGACAGAGTTCTTGTTACTTGCTGTCTTACAGAGAACACCCTCTGTGTTCCTTTACCGTGTTCTCAAAGTTGTGCTGTGTTTTCCCCCTTTAGTACCAGAATTCTGTTTTCTTTTAAACTGGCATATGGCAGAACAACAGCCTCCCATGACCTCAGGTAGCAAAGAAGACCAACTTACTGTACTTAACAGTAATAGAGCATGAAGGCATTTTTATTTACTGCCTCAGTTTCAAAAGTTCCATTGGCAGCAGTGAAGGCACAATGCCAGCCTGGGTAGGAAAAGGGCAGGACATGTCGCAGTGCACTGCCCAAAGCAGGGAAGGCCGAGCTACCCTGTCGTTAGGAATTTAGGTCTCTTACCATTTCCATTATGAGGTGTCCACAAACAAAGCACTTGTCTGCTGTCTGCTGAAAACCTGAATACTGTTCAAATGAGAGAAAAGAAAGGATCATTAGTAACCACTCCTCTAGCCACAAGAAATACCTTTTAGGTGAATACTATGCTGTTTTCCAGCCTATGCTGTATATCACAGCAAACTACACACAGGTTTAGGAGACAGCGACTTTGCCTGGCTCTTGCAGCATGCTCAGATACCAGTTTGGCCTTCTGATCCACTACAACACTTCCACTAAGACGCCCAATGTAACAATATTTTTGTAAGTTTGATTTTTACTCTTCAATTCTGGAGAGTTTGTGTTTGATGTGTGGAAATTAACTTGAATTAACTCCTCATAGCTGTTTTAAATAACATAGGACTTACTACCTCCCAAATCCTGCTCAAACTAGTGACCAGAAGCCTACTGACCTCAGACTTTGAACCTACATTTCACCCAGTGCTATATGCAAGCTAGAAAAAATGAAGACAGGCCCAAGGAGGATTTAGCTGAAACCTTTCACACAGGGAAGAATCTAGAAGTCCATTCATAGGAGCTTGGGCTCTGCACAATGTGGGCAGCAGTAAGGTACCTCAGAAAGATGCTACAAAGCCCAGCCTGCAGTGGGAACTGGGAAGGCTGGGCAGACCTGGCAGCAGAGCTCGTTTGGTGTCGAGGACACAGCTGCTGGGAGATACTTTGCCCACTTAGGACCAAAGCTCTGTGTTCCCTGCCCAAGTGTTTCTGACCTTAACTTTGTACTTGTGTCCCCAAAGCAGATCCTGTTTCAGATGCCAAAGTCTGTCTTTAGCCCTGTGTTTAGAAGTATTGCAAAATTACCCAGGTCATCAGGCCAGATGACTGACCGAGCAAACCACCACCCTACAAGCAAGAGGCAGAAGAACTCCAGCCATGTAACTCTGAAACTGATGTTTGCAGTGGCTGAACTTTACCCTCACTGTATGCAGCCCCACAGAAGCAGAGTGCACTCTGTCCTACTAAAGGCAAGGGGTGCCCAGTTATATGTCTGGCACAGCACAGTGATGTTTATTTCACCTGAAATGTACTATAGCTGCACAAGGTAAAAGACGAGGAAGGGGAGGATGAGTGCAAGCCACTCAAAAGCCACTTCTCTCAAAATACAGGTTAATTGGCTCAGGCATCTAATACATCCACTGAGCCCCAGCCCAACAGAGCTTACAGCTTGCTCCATTCCCCCCCTTGGTTTAGTGGGGATTAACTGTCCCCTCACTTCAAAAGCCAGTGATTCCCAGTCTAGAGCTGCCATATGTTTTCCTTTTTATTGGCATGAGGGAATTACATGTTATGTTAGATCAATAGGTTGGAGACAAAATTATTGTTGCTACACAACGAAGTGATTATGAAGGAAAAGGTCTTGTAGACACTTGGATGGGTCCAGAAGTCAGTAAATAATGGTATGACAGCTGTCATGGCCCCAAATTTACTATGTCCTACTACTATGACCACAACTCATGCAGTCTTAAGAAAGTTTGAAACTTATCAGAAGAGCCCAGGCTGTTGAGGAACAAGCACAGAGCAGGGCAGTCCTAGGTGGATATTTCTGCAGGATGCTACTCTTTTTTTGCTTTTTCCTTCTTCTTGCAGGTGCAGAAAAAAGGCCTCACTGCTTGGGATGCTCCTTGGCTGCCCTGTGGCAGAATAACCCTCTGGCTAGACTGCTTCCTTGGGCTGTGAACTCCAGGGTTACTGGAACAGGTGGGCAGGTCCTGGTGGCGCAGACAGCAGAGGATTAACAATAGTACAAACCCAGCTAATTCTAAAATCCCGCCGGAATGAATTTACTACTACCATCTGGCTGTCATTTGATAAGGAATGCAAAGGAGCATTCACCCAGCTATTGATTAAGAGGGAACATGATTCCCCAGGAACAGAATGGCATAGTGGTCAGACTAATGTCATTTATTGCTAACTAGATTGTTATATATTGCACTGTTTGTCAGAAGGAGCGGCTTCGCTGACACAAAATCACTCTTTACATGACTAACCCTATTAAATTAAAACCATGATTTGTTTTCAACAAGAGAATTGTTATTAGTCAAACACATCCAGAACTGGATTACCCAATTAAGAAGACTTCCAAAATGGCAGTACATCTAATAGCAGTGATAAAATATTTCATGGGCTCAGGGAGCTGTCCTTTACCACCTCACTCTTCTCTGTCCTGATCACAGCAATGAGCCCACACAAAATGAAGGCCTGATTTGGACTGGAAAAGAATGACGGTCTCAGATCCCAGCAGCACCATTTCCTACAGGATGGCAGTTCTGTGGACACTGCTGTTTAAAGGCAAACAATAAATGATTTTCTCCACATTTTTGGAGCTCACCTGTCAACTTCTGCTTTGCACTGTTTGTTATTAATTTGGAGTGTTCAAACAGGGCTGCTGTGCTAAGTTTTCCATTTCAGAAGCAGAGCTCACAAAGTCTTAAAATACTAATTAAAACTGTCAACCTCTGTCTTTGAAGCACTTGATTATTAATAACCTTCACAAATCTTGTATGCACAACAAGAGAGAAGCTGTGATTTGCTCCAGACTTCAGACAAGGCAGAATGGCCTCTCTATTGTCTCTCAGCACACCGAGAGCCTCCTTGGTGGTGGTTTCCCAGCATGGCTGGGTGGGAGGAGCATTGGTTCCCCACGGCTTGTGAACTAGGTAACTGCAGGAGAAGAGAATTATACTCCACAGACTTGTAGCCCTTTTTATTACTGACATTGTTGGAGGGGGAAAAAATACTTCTGAGCACACCAGCCCACCCTTATAATCTGGAGACATGAAGCACAGACTGAGGTGAAACAGTGATGCAACACAGGCTGATAGGGAATACCCTCGCAGAGAAGCCAAATCACAGCTGTTTCCTGTACACATGATATTCATACAGGCAATTTCATTTGGGGTGTAAGCAGTGCAGGGCTCAATTCTAGCCTTACTCTGTAAGAGTTTCACATGTGCCAGGTTCTTCTTGAAAAAAAAAAAGCATTTTGTTGGCAGAGCAGTAGGTGATGTAAATACAGACCAATCTCAAACTAGATGGGAATGCTCACAATTCTACAGACACTGTATCCACAACAAATATGAAGTGCAATTTTGAACTTTCCTTAATATTCATTAGGCATATATAAAACACTGAAAGATGTTGTTATAAAAAGAACAGCTCTGAAATTCAAAGCTGAAATGTTACCCTCTACTCTCCCTCTTGTGACTCAGGACTACAATGCTAGTTACACCAGGATGCAGAGAAAACAAGTGCAAGGTGAAGAGCTGGCGTATTATTTTTCCTGATTTCTTAGTTTGGCCTCAACTGTTTTCTCTCATATTTACCTTGTCCTTTACTTCTCCCTCAGGATAATAAAATCTCACTTTATGTGCACTAATCAAGACTTTGTAATCAAGCTCCCCAATGATACTTATATAAAATAAGACTCTGGGAAACTGAATAAACCTTGAGAAATATGTTAATTATGTTAGAATAGAAGAGTAAAAATAAAGTAGAAAACTTGGCTGGCTGAACTTTTCTTTTGTTTGCTGTCCAATATACTTTGATTATCAAACAGGAAAAAAAAATCTCTAATGATCCTGTCCAAGAGTCTTTGTTTCAATGTAAGAGGAAAACAAGTCCCCTTCTGTCCTGAATATTTAGGCCTGTTAGTGTCCTCCTGTGATAATCTTGGGGTTTATAACTCTTCTGTCTAATGTGCAATATATCTAAAAGAAATTAACAATGAATTTTGAGCATATAATGAACAATTATGCATGGAGGATAATCCCACCAAGTACTATGAGAAACAATTTCTCCTGCCTGCCCTCAGTCCTGCAGCAAATCTTGGTTGTCTACCAGAGTCCTTGAAAGTTTGATGTTCTCATCAAGATTTTCAAAAGCAAAAACATTCAGAAAATCGCATGCCTGAAAAAGGCTTCAGGACCCAAACTTTCTACCTCAGGCAATGTCAGATCTTTGAAAAGGCATGTCTCTGCTTCTCCTTCGCATGCCTGACCGTGCCCAAGGAGGGGCTGGTGCACTTCCCTGCTGTTATGCACTCAACAAAACAAAACCTTCCTCCTGGAAACAGACCCTGGAATCTCATTCAGGCCCATTTTCTTCTTTGATGAGGACGTTCAAAACCTGCTAAAGGTTTGTGCAAGCAGCCCAAGTGGGTTACATTTCAGTAGGTGTGGCAGCTGCTGCCCCGGTAATGGTATGAAGCTGTAAAATCTACAATCACTGCTGCAGCACTGCGAAGTCACCGAACATGACTGCTCAGCCTAGACCTGAGATTCCTACTCTTTTATGCAATAAGAGCTTTTGAGAGGGATGATAAGGAGTTTTTGCCAAAATGCTTCAGGCATTTAATTCTGAAAACTAATTTCTGAATTGGGTGCTATGCTAATAATGTATTCCAACCCCAGGCTGCCTGTAATCCCTCACAGACTCTCTTCGCCTTGGTTTCCCATTAGCAGAGCATCTGTCTTCTCACTGCTGTATTGTTTGCTCTCTGCATGGGACCCTTAGTACATGGGACACAACAATGCAAGAAATTCATGGGATCACATTAAGAGAGGGAGAAAATATCAAATTTGGTTTCATGCAGACGGGGTTTTGTTGTTGCTTTTTTACACGCATATTTAAATGCAATGATTAAAATGAACTGGATAAAATGGGGCCTTCTCAGGCTCAAAGATAGGGCAGCCTCATGGCAGAGATGAACTAAAGCAAAATAGTCCAGAACTTTCATATATCCTGTTGCTTCAGCAGTGTCTTGCTGCCAGTGAGGAAACACTACACAGTAGCTTGTCTTCTTGCTTCTGCCTGTCTGCTTTGTTATGTTTGAAGAACCAGGGTAGGGCAAGGAAGGACTTCACATTCTGCACAGAAGTAACAGCTGGTCTGGCCATGCACAAAACTCTGCCAAAACCCAGGAGTTCAGGGGTAGCTACCTGCCTCTAGCAGTCAGGCATTTTATAGCCTCTGAGAAAGGAGCTGCTATTTACCTCCTACAGAACCCAGAC